ATTGGTCCTATAGAATCCCCCCACTGATAAGAGCTACAGTGAGGAGCACATACAAGAGCCTCCCCGTCCTTTTTTGCTTGCTCATGGGGCATCCGTTAGCCAGCATCCTCTCCCTGCCACCAACCACTGCAAAATTTTATCCCCGAAGATATAACACATCCTCACGCCAGCTTGAAGTAAAGTTCCAGCTAAAACCAGTTAATACTCCTGCCGAAATATTAATTTGCAGCTTACTTTTGTCCTTGTCTTATTCCATGGCTTTTTCTCCTAGGGATTTTGAGAAGCCCAAGGATATAATTCTTGGAATGTTTCAGATTTTTCTGTTTGCTTACCCACATTTTGTTTTCTATTTCCAAGACCATGAGAATTAACCATTCCTGTTAAGAGATATGGCTGAGAGTAAGCAATAGCCCCCGTCTCCCTCACCTCTTGGAGAGTCCATGGTACCATCACGCCCAGGACTTACAGTATATGACCCACTGAATTGCATTGTTTGTGTTCATGTCTGGCTCTTAGCTGGTGAGGGCAGGAGCCGTGGTGTTCTGGTCTTGAAAACCTGGCACATTTCAAAAATATGTTTTTGAAAGAATGCCTGGTGATCTAGGGTAGTAGAGTGATGTACATTAGAATTTAAGCTCTGTCACCTAACTAACTCTGTGTTCTAGGAAAATCCCTTAATCTCTTCATCTACAAAATGGGATGATTTCTCTCACCTGAACTCGTTAGTGTGAGGCTCAAGATGGCTAACATGCATTTTCTATACTTCTTTCCATTCATTAAATATTATTATCATGTCCTTAGCCTAAGAAGTTTGTAGTTTCTTTGGTACATTTTTTTATTTTTATTTTACTTTTTTCATTTATTTATTTTTCTTTGGTACATTGTTTTAGAAAGACAAGCTTGGATTTTCTGGGGAATATTCCTGACTTTCACAATAGTCCTTTAACTCACGTTTTTGGGACCTGCATATTGTTGCTTATACAGTTGCTTTATGGTTCTTAAATATGTGGTTTTATTAAATGAATTCCAGGCTGTAAGACCGTATTCCATATGAGCTATTCCAAAAACTGGCTTAAGAAACAGCTGCTTTTATGATAAATTCAGTATCAGAATAATGTCCTGGTTGTACACAGTTCATTATTCCTTCAGAAACCAGGGGAAGCAGATCAGGGCTTCTAATAGCCAAGAATGATGTTCAAAAATTCTTTAGTGTCATATCACCTTCAATTCACCCAGTGAGAATGTAGCTGGAATCAGATTTTCTATTTTGTCTGCACAGAGTTCTTTCTGTGACAGCTTGCCACCACCAGATTAGTGTAGATGCTCATTAATCAAGTCAGAGCAAAATGTCAGTTTTCTCACTCTGTGTGCTCCTCTGTGTAGCACCTAAAAGGACGGCAGGCAGGCAGCAAACGTTAAGCATGTTTTGCTCAGTGGGAATGTCAATTAACTTATGAGGGGCTCCCTTTGGTGGGAAGACATACATCATCATAATTCAAAGAATGGCTTTTGATGTTACTCAGACCTGAGCTCACATGCTTATTTTGCTTTTTACAAGTTTTGTGACTTCTGAGCCTTTCTTTTTTCATCTGTAAAATGGACATACACATACCTCCGTAATAGGCATAATACAATTGTTCTGAGAATTAAATGTAGGACATTGCTTAGCACAATGCAGGTGCTCAATGAAAGGTAATTACATTACTTGTAAAAACCAGTAATGTCATTAATCATAATGATATAAATAGCATTGCAATACCAATTACATTAATAATAATAATAGTAATAAAGTTTATGCTTGATAGGTTCTATCCTAAGAACTTATGAATATTAACTCCTTCAACCAACACCCTTTGTTGGGACTATTATTGTTCTAGGTTTACAGCTGAGACCCAAAGAGATTAGGTAAAGTGCTCACGGGAAAGGGCACACTAGGTTTTGAACTCAGGCAATTCAGCTTTAGAATCAGAGTTCGTAACCACCATCCGTATCACTGACGTTCTTCTGTCCAATGATTCTGCTGTGGATGTGGTGTTTAGTGAAATGAATGACAGTTTTTTGGATGGTCCAAGAAAGAATAGTGTACCACATTACTGTGGCTTGTCACTGGCACCTATGTTGGACACCCATACCAGGAGTTTGTGTCCACTAGATGGCATTGTTGTTTTAACGAAATGTGAACCAAGTCACTATGGTCTGGGAGCCTGTTAAATTTGAGAACACCGGCAGCACAAGCCAGTTGTATTCCTGAAAGTCAGATGGAAGAAACCCCCAAACTTTGCAGCATAGCTACCGATCTCTAAAAGACTAATGGTATCGAGAAATAGGAAAAATATGTACTAGTTTTTTCAGGGTGTTGATATCTGTAGAAAATCTGGATGAGTTTTGAAATCATCTAGTCCAAATGCATCAGTTCATAAATAAATAGAGTGAGGGCCAGAGAGGAAAAGTTACTGGGAGGTGGGTACCCAGATTTGATGGCTTTGGCTGTAGTTCTCTTTCGCTAATACTTCCAACAGATTCTAAATCACAAAGAAACTGTGGTTTATGAATTCTTAGAAGACCTTCCTTTGGGATATGGGGCAGAAGATTGCCCAACGATTATGAGTTTTTGCCTCATTTTGTTTAATACATATGTTCAAAATCAATACCAGACTCAGATACTTAGATATGAAGGAGGATAAAAGCCAAAAATGGTGTCTATTTCTTTTTCTTTTTAATATGCCTCCTTGGAAAGATTGAGTGACTCTGGTTTATGCATCTATTTAAAAACATTTTGGTGGGGGGCACCTGGGTGGCTCAGCGACTGAGTGTCTGCCTTCAGCTCAGGTTGTGATCCTGGGGTCCTAGGAGCGAGTCTTGCATCAGGCTCCCTGCAGGGAGCCTGCTTCTCCCTTTGCCTACGTCTCTGCCTCTCTCTGTGTGTCTCTCCTGAGTAAATAAATAAAATATTAAAGATATTTTTTACATAAAGAGAAGGGGAGGGGCAGAAGGAGAGGGAGACAGCGAATCTTAAGCAGGCTCCATCCATGCCCAGCATGGAGCCCAACATGGGGCTCAGTCCCACAACCCGGAGATCATGACCCAAGCCGTAATCAAGAGTGCTTAACTGACTGAGCCATCCAGGCACCTGGAGTGTCTCCTCTTTAAAAGACTGCCAAAAAAAAAAAAAAAAAGACTGTGCCTATTGGCTGACAATGCAGTTAGTGTATATTAAACACAGAGCAAGTAGCAGGGCAATGGCTAAGACAAAGGACTGGGATCAGATGGCCTGGGTGGAACCAAAGGACCCTGGGAAGGCCATGAGACACCTCTACGCCTCTGTTTCCACATCTGTAAAATGGAAATCATATTTTTACTCATAAGGTGTTTGTGAAAATTAAATGCATGTGAAGTGCCTGTGTCTAGTTATAGAAACAAGGCTAAGAGTAGCAATAAAAATAGATTTTTTTTTTTGTTTTGTTCTGCTAGCTGATGTTTAGTTTTCTGTGTCTCTCAGCTGTGAATGTCATTGCAGGTGCTCTGTCAACAACTTCTTTACTCACTGTCACATGCTACATTGCTAAAAAGGAGAAATAACGTTTCAGGTTTTATAACTGTGTAACATCACTTCTTCTTCAACCAGATGGTAGAAGTAGCCAAGATACATATGGCATGTACTTCATTATGTGTTCACGTCAACTTTATTTAAAACACTCGTAGGCTTTGGGCTCCTACTCACAGTTTAGACAGAGAAGGTGACTGGCATACAAATAATAACCATTGAACACTTGCTGAGTGACAAACATTGCTCTGTTTTGCAAGGATGAACTCATATAATTCTTACTACAACTGTGGGATCTAGGAACTAATACCTCTCCCTTTTTAAAGATGAGCAAACTGGGATCCAAAAACTTGCTCCAGCCTAAATAATAAGCCAGAGTCAGCGTGTAGACTCGGGTGGCCTGATTCTCAGTGACCCTGTACTGCCACCCCTCAGGGCAGGATGTGAGGAGGCGCTTCCTCCAAAAGTCCCTTGCTTCCACCCCCAACCCCATACCAAATACTACAGTGAAGCCTGATAGAGCCACTGTTTGTGTAGCTTTTCTAGGATCGTTAACATGCGACTTCATGACCCAGGAGGCTAATGTGTTAAACCTACATCAATATTTTTATGGCAGTTAGTTAATGAGATCAACTGGATAAACATTTAATAGACTTCTGAGCTTAAAACAAAGTTGTAACAGGGTCAGAAGAGAGCATGCCTAGGATAGCGCACTCTTGAGGACCACTTCTTAAAGGGATCAAAGTTCACTGCAGCCAAAAGGGGATCGGGTTGCTGGTGTGATCATGCCTGTGACTAGCCCTGTTCACAGTAACGTATTTGTTGCTCATATGTTCTGTAACATTCCAGGCTACCCTCTCTTCACTGCCAGTAATTTAGACGCTACCCCTATGTAGAATTCTTGAATTCAGATTCATAAGAGACGTAGCTGTCTTCTGGTCTACCTCTCTGCCCTTAAAGGGAAGGAAACTGAGGTACCGTTTGCTTCTGGTTTGTCCCAAGTTATCCTAGAGGAAGAGTTTGAGCCTTATTTCATTCAGGTATTACATACTGCTCTATATCCCTTAGCTATTTTATTTCAAATATTATCACTCTGAATACTTGCTGCAATTCTCTGGTTTCTACCAATAACATTTTTCCTTCAGTGATGACCCCAGATTCAACAGAGAGCATCCCTTCTTTATAGATAGCATCTTCCTATCTATAGTGACAATTTCTTCTTCCTTCCTTTGCTTGCCATGAACTTGCACAGGGCCGGGGGAACAATGACATTTATCACCCCCCTCCAAAAAAAAAAAAACAAAACAAAACTTTTAAATCATATCGTTTTCTTCAGGAGAAGCTATGCATGCAAGTCATGGAACCTAGCCCCACGACCACGACCATCCCCAGCAGGGCCCAGGAAGCTTCAAAGCAGAATTGCCAGAAAGGAGCTGGGAGGCGACGTCCCACTTACCGATCTCACCCATCGTTATCCCGGGCGCTAGCTGCCCGTTGTTGAAAGAGCTATAGGTAAACAAGTTGGGGACGGATGTGAGGTCATAGATAGGTTCTTGCTTTATCTGTTTGATTCCAGTCATGTCAAGTCCTGACTGATCAGGGGACGGTTGGCCGGAATCCACGTTGTAATAACCCTCGGACTTGGGCAGGTCGATGACGTGTCCGTTGGCATAGGTGCCTCCGGCCTCGCCGTGGAGGCCGCCGAGGCCGTTGCTGATGCCGCCGCCGTACACCCTGGCCAGCGCCTCGGCCTCCCCGCTCTGCTGCTGCCGCTGCTCCTGCAGCCGCTGCTGGTGCTTCTGCACCTCAGCATACAGGCTGTCCCTCTGCTTCTTGGACATCCTCCCGAACTTCACAGCTGGGGTGGAGGGTGGAGAGAAAAAGCAGAAGAGAACACCTGGGGTTATCACTTCCAGCACGTCCAATGGATCACAGAGAGCTGACCCCTGGATAGCAGGTGCCCTCAGATCTTAGCACCACAAGCCCAAGGGGGTGTTCGCCGGCACCCCGCGTTTGGGGAAAGGCGTGTCTGTACTGGTTTATGTGCATTGTGAGCAATAAATCGAAGCTACAAAGAAATGTCAAAATTTAGCTATGTATTTCTTATGGCCATGGAATTAAAAGGCATATTTCCTGGTTCTTTCTTACGTGTGTGTGTGTGGGGGGGAATAATCCACAAACCCCAAATTACCAAATAGTACCTGCTGTTAAAACGTCCATCAGCATTCATTCTTAGCTTTCTCCAGTAAGCATTAGGGTTGCTGGATTCTTGGATGGGACCCTATTATTTCACATTTTCTAAACGGCATGTTGGGTAAGACCAGGGATGTGGGAGCAGGGTGATAAACAGCATTTTAAGGAAGCATTTGTCTTCATTTGGCTTTTGGGACCAAATTCAAAGAATCTTTGGAAAATAGCAATTTCGTATATCCAGTGCTCAGCAAGTCAGCCCACAGTTACCCCTCCTTTCTCCTTCTACCGCCCCCAGGTTTTATATTGCCCAACTCTTCTGGAAAAATCCTCAGCCATTATAAGGAAAAAGGAGGAAGATGCTCTGTAAGTGATCACAGAGTGCCCTGAAGATGCTTTGATCTGAATTCATTGTTTCTTAACTAGGAGAGCTGAACCTCCTGACCCATTATGGATATTGACATTTTCCCCCACAAACTGTCAACTCTCAGTTTAGTCTGTGAATATTTTAAGCCAAGGGTCCACCTCGTCTGAATCATCAAACACTACGTCGTTCAGACCATGTTAACAGTGCAGACTATGACAAGTTCGCACTTGGAGATTCCTCTCTGAGTTTCCATTTCTTTTCTTTTGTGACAGTGTTCCCATCACCTTTGAAAAAAGATTTTATTTAGTAATTTATTTTAGAGTGTGTGTGTGTGTGGGGGGGGGAGCAGAGCAAAAGGGAGAGAGACAAACAGACTCCCTGATGATTGCCAGGCCCAAAGTGCCCAGACTCGGGGCTTGACCTCGTAACCCTGAGATCAAGACCTGAGCTGAAACCAAGAATCGAATGTTTAACCGACTGAGCCACCCAGGCACACCCCATCACCTTTTGGTGTTGGGAGCCCAGGGAATGTAGAGAGAAGAAAGTGGAGGGTAGAAGCAGGTCCAATTCTTGGATTCATTCACTCGTGTTGGTGACAACAATTTCTTAGAAAAACTAAACGGTGAAGTGCTTAAGAACGTTCCAGCACAGGGGGTCTGTGGAAGAGATGTCCTTTCACAATGCCCTCCCCTTCGCCCGGTTCCATTAATGTTCATTTTCTCCTTCTGTGGGTTACAAGGCTACCAAATTTTATCTAAGCATGGGCTGTTCAGAATGGAGACCACATTTCCCAGCCTCCCTCACTGGCAGGTGCAGCTGTGTGACTAAGCTCTGGGTAGCAGGAAGTAAATGAAAGTGCTCCATATGCTCCTGCGAGTTGGGGCACACTGCTTTCCTCTTTCTTGCCTGATGGGTTGTGGATATGAGGGCTCAATTTAGAGCAGCCCAAACTTCCTGTTTCTTTTTAATCCTCCTAAAAAGACTATGTTCTGGTGCTGCCTAAACAGAAAAACAAAGGAGCAATTATCCAGTAAGTTTTCTGAACGAAGATAATTCATATGTTTAATTCACAGCAAACTCCCCTTTCCACCTCAACTGTCATTTTTTATAGAGTCCCAAGTCATTTAGATCATTGTGTTTCACTTTGTTGATAGAGACCATGGTCTTTATTACATTCTGTTTCTCATACACACACCTATTTGCTTACTAATTGCACTGACATTTCCAGTTTGTCTGTGGACCAAATTCTAAAGACAATTTTAGGGAAAGTATTCTTTCTACCTTTGTATCTTTACAAATTATATATATACATACATAAAATTTTTTTACATATATAAAATTATATATGTATTATAATTATACATATAAAATAACAATTTCATAAGTAAATAAGTTTATATGCTTTATATATGTGGATATGTATATATCTATAATCTTTTGGGGAAAAAAACTTTTGTGTAAGAAAAAATAAACTGTAACTTTCGATTCAGGAAGAACGCTCCCCCCCCCAAGAAATTAATTGACACGCTTCTTTATTTGCTAACCTGTTCTTTGCATCCATGTACGTTCAGAACAGCAATTTATTACAGAGCTATGCAGGTGGATACAGAATTTCTATTGTTGTAGATTGAAATTTTATTTTGGCTGGAGCAGATCTACCTTCTGAGTTACTTTAGTAGAATAGTTTTGTGTTTGTTTAAAATCTATAGAGAAAAAAATATTGAGGAGAAAGTCCTCTATCACAGACACATAAATGTGATGTTTCTTTTTAAAACCCTTTCCATGTAATGCTTGCTTTAGATTTCCATACACTCTATACTTAGGTGAAATATACAGTGCGGTGGATTGATTGCATTGATGACCTGATTCCTCTTACCTATTCCCTGGGTAAATAATAACACCCTTTCATTCTCGGCAGGCACCCTATTCTCACCCCCCAACCCCTGCCCTCCACCCACCATCCCCCCCCCCACTGCCCTTGCCTCAGGGTCATGTGACCCACTTTGGGCCAATGGGACATTGCTATGAGTGACACAAACAGAAGTTTTTCAAAAGTGCTTGTGTGATTGAATATCTCACCATGAAGAACGTGCCTAAACTAGCTTTCCGGAGGATAAGGTATGTGAAGCAGAGCTGAGTCACCTTGGTCTTTCCAGACAAGGCCATCTACCTTCAGCAGAGGCACAGACTGGCCTAAAGCTGGTGGCAGATGAATGAATGAATCCAGTTAAGACCCTCCATGTAATAATTTTAGGTCTGGAAATCTGCTGTTAACCACAGGTCTCATAACCAAAGCAAACGATGTCAAATACGTATGCTGTCAAGACCTCTGCCCTGGTAAACATCTGAAAATCCAATCTTGAGTCGTTATGCTTTTTCCAAGGTCCTAACTTACAGGTCACTGAACAAACTGAAATGTTTTCAGAGACAACTTAAAGGTCTCCTGTATTTTGGAATTATCCAGCTTCCTCCTAAACCAAGAACTTTGCTGACTATTACTATAATAGTATTGTAGAATATATTTGCCATTTGCTTCCGATGAGCCAGTGTTTCAGTTGTGTGTCCCTTCTGGTAACAAAAGTAGTGACATACTTGGGGAAAATCATTCCAGTACATGGAATAATAAATCTGAGAACTTTACTGAAATATGTATATAATTCCTTTTCACTATAGGTAAAAACATTTGTTGTATTCATAGGCCTGTTTTTAACAAAGGCTGTATTACTATTATATTTTCAAGTATTAGGGTTCTTCTTACCACTACTCATTAATCAGAATGGCACATATTTTAAGTATTTGCCCCTCTCAGACTTGATATTCTGTTAATGATTTTCACTTGAGTATAGAGGCAGCCACTTATTAAATTGTTAGCTCTCAAACTCATATGATTCTGTATACATCGCAAGTGCTTTATAAATATTCAGTGATGATGGTATTTGTTCATGATCTGCTCTTATCACTCACTTTGATCCCACACGAGCAAAGAACAATTTTATGCAAAATCATCAGGAATCTTTTCATATTTATTTGGATTGTGGGATTCTAAACAGAATGGAAGGTTTTGGAGTAACTATAAAACAAAGTCATTGGTTCTTTGAAGATTTCTACTTACTAACACATGACAACTAGATAAACGCTTTTGGCTTCAAGAGAACCAACTTATAAAACTATCATCTGTGACTTTCCATAGTCGTTTTGAAAATTATTTTGTTACAATCTTTTGGTTGTAAAGTTTTCTATGCTTACATCTTGCTGCTTACCAAGGAAACCGGTCTTAATTTAACTTTTTTCAATTTCAAGGATGTGCCTTTTTTATAGTGCTCTAAGCTTAGTAGAAAAGATCAGATTCCATCTACCCAACCCTATTCATAATTTAAAAATATTCTTTCTCCTCCCTCTCCTTTCCCAGCAGAACTTCCTGTGATGATCGAATGTTCTTTGTGCCTTCCAATATGATAACCACAAGCCACATGTGGCTATTGAGCACTTGAAATACAGCTACTGGGAGTGAAGAAGTGAATTTTAATTTTAACTAATTTTAACTAGTTTAAAATTTAACTTTAACTAATTTTAACTAATTTAATTTTAACAAATTTAAATTTAAATAGTGACATGTGAATACCATTCTGGATATTGGACAATGCTGTTCTAGAGAAGTAGAAGGCTAATCTGTGAAACCTGCCCTTGTAGGGCAGCTACTGCTTCTTCACAGATGCATGTCATTTAGGATGACACACACTCAATTATTGCAAGGTGAATATCATGCTTTCTCCTTGAGCCCAATAGCTTCCTACTGATATCGAATATTTTTTTTTTTTATGGTTGGTTGGTTTGTAGTAATCCAGCTGGAATAGTTTATCCTGATTCCTCCAACTAACACTTGTGAAGAGTCCATTAAAAAGAAAAATAAATAAAATGGTGGAGAAGATTTGGTGGGCATATACAGGCTATACACTCTCACACATCTATACATGCATGCCTTCACCTTTGTACACACATAAACACGTGTATGCATCTCAAGTGGATTTGATTTTTCATGCTCCATCTAAATGAAATTAGTAAAAATTTGTTATTGTGGAGTTTTTTGCCTACTTATATACGTGCTGTGGCTAATAAACCACTATAGAAGTGGAAATTCAGGATATAACGAAAATTCAGTGATATCAAGCTATCTATAAGTGAAATAAACATCCTTGGTGCCATGCATAACCGACAGAAGGCAAATGCTGATATCAAAATGAAGATGCCACTTTATGTCTGAAGGAACATGGGTAAGGTGAATGTGGAAAGAAGTTAGTGTGAGGGCATCTTATTTTGGCTACTGGTACTCCACTAAAGCACTTTGAAAATACTTGCTTAATCAGTAGAAGGTAAGTATAATCAATTAGTGGCAGAGGAAGTACCACCTCTCATTCTTGAGTCCTTACTAGACATAGGTAATCAACCATAACTCCAGGGCTTTTAAAATCATTGACACCACAAATGAGCCACTACGTATCAACAAGAGATTAAACCTATTCAGCTACCCTGGTATTAATATAATTTATTTGCTATAAAGTGCCCTATATAATCAAGGTTCAGATGAAACTTCCTCTATATAACAGAGTAAAAAAGAATTATTTTCTCTTAAGAAGAATCATTTTTTTCTTCTGCTGGAGCCTCTTATCCTAATTCCCAAGCACCACCCCCACCCCTGAGCATTTCTCCTCATTAGTTTGACACACGACATATTTAGGAGGTATTTTCGAAGATGTCTCTGGCAGCCTCAGGATTGTCTCTGGACCTAAAATTAAGATGGATCATTACCCTTAATCCCTAGTATCCTTAGACACTGCATTGCTTTTACTTGCAAATTTAAGTGCTGTGGTAAATTTCTTCCTCCTTGAGAGTAGATTGTGGCTCTATTAAATAATCCTCCCACTCCCCAACACATTTCTTTTATGCCATGGGATTCAAGCAATTTTCTAGATTTTGAGGACACTGGACTATATATATGCCTGTCTCTTGCCCATGATTCTTTTTACCAGCACAGACTCCCAAGATCTACCCTTCAAAAGAGACACTTTCTTTTATTGTATAAAGGAAGAAGTAACAAAGACAAATAACCAATGGCTTATCCTTTTTGTGCAATTATTAATATATACTGCCATTTATATACTGTCAATTAATATTGGAAATGAAGTATATAATCATCAACTTAAGTTCCCTAACAATTTCACTAAATAAATCCTTAACCACTAAATCCCCACCCTCCACCTTCTTCACTTTAGTTATGTGGAAGTACACAGTGCCATAAATTTACCCTAGGAATAATTTTACACAGAAAGTTTAGAGAAACAAACAAAAAGTCAGTTAATAGAAAAGTTTTGGAAACATATCTCTGCAAATTTAAAAGCTACCTATAAACTGAAAGGGACAAGATCAGATTCTTTCTTTTCTTTTCTTTTTTTTTTTTTGGTCAAATGTGTCTCCTAGTGATACTTTTATGCAAGGCAAGTTTAGATAGGTTGGGAAGTAGAAAAAAGGTAAACACAAGTTTATAATATAAGTATTTGGAGAATGCAAGCTAAGGAGTAAGTAGTTTATATGTTTAGATATCAAGACTTTTGCAGAACTGATTTCATCCAAATGAGTAAAAGGCTCATAGTAATTTAATAACTCAAAAAATCCCTTTACATCATGCCAATTATCCATATTTCTTTAAAATCTAGAAGCCTGGCTGCCTGCCTTCCTTCCTTCCCTTTCTTTCTTCCTTCCTTTCTTCCTTTCATCCATACTACCTTGAACTTCATTAGAAGGAGTGTGACCAGAGGTAGAGAATCCACAATGATCCACATAAAAAGAATAAGTACCAGGGGAACTGTCTGTATCTCAGAATCTAGGTAAAAGAGAATTCCATGGTCCATTCAACAAACATTTAGGTACCTGCTTTTAACCAGACCCTGAGGATACAGTGAGAACAAGACAGAAATGCCTCCAGGACTCAGGGTTGCTCACAACCTGACACAGGAGTGCTGTAGTCAATGTCAGCGGGGGAAATAATTAGTTTAGATAAGTGCTTAAAAATAGAAGCAATACTAGATGAAATTCTTTGTGTGAGTTTATTTGTCCTCTTTCATTAATCTAAGAAATTCAGTTGGGAATGCACCTCACCCCTTGGGGCCGTATTACGAGAAGGACACCACCCACACCGCCCTTTTAAAACTTGGACTTCTGATTGCCTTTGTAATTTTTGTAATGCTTCAGAAAAGTCCATGTCTGCTAGTAGAACTTCTGGGCTTCCTACAGAAGTGCATCCTATTCCTTAACATCTCCACATACCAAGCAACTTGTGTACCAGTCAGATGGACCCATGACCAAATGGTCCTGGTTTGCCTGAAACTGTCCCTGGTTTCGGCTCTAAAAATCTCACACCCAAGGGAACAGCTCATGCACAGGCAAACCTAGATAAGTGGTTGCATTTCAGCCTAGGCCTGTGTGACTTTCACTTAACCTTGTCAGCACAGATTGCTCAATGAGCTACAGTAAAGTCTTTCCTTGCTTCCTATTTCATAGACAATACAATGTATGTATGTGTGTGTGTGTGTTAATATGATCTTGCTTTTCCTCTTCATGTACTACCAGCACATGGTTTTCTTTTCTTTTTATCTCCAGTTCCCTTTGTCTAGAATCCTTCCAGTAGCTAAATAGACTCCAGCAAAACATCCAATGTGAAAGCCTTTGAGTAAGAAATAGGAAGGCAGTTCCTTACCATCTCTTGACATTCCTAGGGCAAGACACTTCTGCAGTCGGCAGTGTTGGCAACGGTTTCTGTTGGTTCTATCAATTAAACAGTTTCTCTGCCTTGGGCAGGAGTAAGAGGCATTGTTTTGCTGGCTCCTCCTAAAGAATCCCTAGAAGCAAAAAGAGAATGTGAGGGAGATAGGTTTCCAGGAAGGAAAATGGAGACAATTAACATATACCTTTGCTACATTTTCCACAGTGAATATAATTGAGTTTAATTAAAAAGATTTTTTTTTTTTTTGTACTTCTCCTTGGATAGCTTACAGATGTTTCTACTGGGGAAAATATGTACTATCTACAGTGAGGTGAAGGTATCTTTCATTCATTCATTCATTTAATCAGTGTTTACCAAAGACATTTGTGAGCTGTGTTATTCTATGCAAAGAAACACATAACAGAGTTCCTGCCCTCACAGAGCAGTGAGAGAGGAGTGGCAAAGGACAGTGTCACTGCTAAGCCCAATATGACTCGATGGGGACAATAACACAATCTTACATCAAGAGTTTTAGGGGTGAGAAACTCGGGGTACTGGTCATCATAGCCATACCGAGGAGAGTGGGCGCAGTCTGTACCCCTATCTTCCTGGTTTCTAAAATGCATTTTTACCCATTTAAAAAATTTTAAATTTGGCCAGCATGCATCTGGAAGCACTGGTTGCTTTTTAAACCAGTGATATGCCTTACAATTAACCTCATCTTTAAATAAAGGAAACATGGCATATAAACTCTTCAATAAAAATAAGCAATAAATAAAAGCTGAACAGATGCTCTTTGCTTGGCCTCAGGCTACGGAGATGTAGGGGGTTTTCATGCAAGTAGGTTAGGGTCTTCCTGGTATAAACTTAATTACCATGGACCATATACTACCCTCCTAAATAAATCCATAGCTGAGTTAATCATTTAAAAAAATGCTTTGGAGTTTTTTTCATATGATTAGTTATATAAAACTGCCTTAGTTATAAAAAACTCGACATAGGAAAATTGGGGTTTCCTCAATTATAACAGGAGGATAGAGCAGGACTGGGATGATAGGGTAGCAGCTAGTGAGGCACCCACCTTGGCCACAAAATTTAAGTACAGCCCAAACACCCTCTTAACTGGGATAAGTATTATTTTAACACAATATATTAAGAATCAACATTGATGTAAAACACCCTGAAAAGTTTAAAGAGGATCAAGATTATCGATTTTTCTTTAGTTTTGGGCTCTCATATGATATGGTCTGGCACATGAAAAGAAGTTGGCCACTCTTGTGAAGAACTTTAGAAATGGATGAGTGACCTGGTATCTTTTTAGAGAGGAACAAATGACTATTGGTTTTGTGTTGTAAGCCCCAAGCCATTCAAAACAAGGACTAGTCTGGTGCCCACAGGTCCACATGTATTACTTATATCATGGACCGGTGGTGGCAGAATGAGATATCCATTTGTCCAGTTCGTATGAATTCATGGGGCCCTTTAAAAGAGAGTTCACATCTAAGCCCCCAGGGATTGAAATGATGTACTCCCCATGTAAATGGTCCCCGACATATAATGATTCAATTTATGATTTTTTGACTTTACAGATGGTACGAAAGCAATATGCATTCAGTAGAAACCATACTTTGAATTTTGAATTTGGATCTCTTCCCAGGCTAGTGAGAGGCAGTATGGTGCTCTCTTGTGATGCTGGGCAGGGCAGCGGCCCCAGCTCCCCGTCAGCCCCATGAGCATGAGGGTCATCAACCCATACACTCACAGCCATAATGGTTTTCACTTTCAGTGCAGTATTCAACAAATTACATAATATATTCAACACTTTACTATAAAATGGGTTTTGTGTTAGATGATTTTTGCCCAACTACAAGGAAATTTAAGTGTTCTGAGCACATTTAAGGCAGGCTGGGCTAAGCCACGATGTTTGGTAGGTTAAGTATATTAAATGCATTTTTGACTTAAGATATTTTCAACTCACAGTGAGTCTGTGGGGACATAACCCCATGTACATCAAGGAAAATCTGTACCATCAAAGCTGTCAGAAGCCATAACTTTGGCCCATCAGTCTTGATAAAAGATGACTTGGAATTTACATTTTAAGAAAGAATTGGTGAGTTTCTTTTCTTTCTTTCTTTCTTTTTTTTTTTTTTAATCTTTGGATACTCCAGTGCCACTTAGCAAAAGAGCTGACAGAGAAGACTTTTGAAGTCACAGCTACAGGCCTAATTTAAGGCCAAATTGACATTAATTACGAGGCATTTCTTGCTTATCTGTTGCTCATTATTGCAAATGAGGTCTTTGGCATGAAAAAGAGATTCTGTTTCAAATTTTATTGAACGAGGAGGAATTTGAATAAGTGCGCAAGCTGAATTGATGTTATTTGAAACGGGTTGTTTATGTTGACTCAAGAATGGTTTTATGAAAATTCAGAGGTTGATACTCAACACGCTGATACTGACATCTTATTCTGAACAGAGTTTCTTGAGTTTTCTATTTGGAGAAAAATGCAGCATATTTACACATGTGGGTTTTCCCATGAAATAAAAAACAGTAGTGTCATGTACAATGTCATTTCGGCTACAACTTCAGAGTATGCCTCTGAATAGCAGTGTAATTTCTAGGATTGTATCTTCTTTCTTTAAGTAGAAAAGATGCCGTGGACCTACACACTTGTTTCTGGCTACTGACCTTGTGGAATATATTTGTTCTGTGGTTAAACCTTGTAGAAATTACTGTTTAAAATGTTTTGCTTGGGCAGCCCGGGTGGCGCAGCGGTTTAGCGCTGCCTGCAGCCTGGAGTGTGATCCTGGAGACCCGGGATCGAGTCCCACGTCGGGCTCCCTGTGTCTATGCATCTCTCTCTCTCTCTCTGTCTCTCTCATGAATAAATAAATAAAATCTTTAAAAAAATAAAAATAAATAAAATGTTTTGCTTTTGGGATGCCTGGGTGGTTCAGCAATTGAGTGTCTGCCTTCAGCTCAGGTCTTGATCCCAGGGTCCTGGGATCGAGTCCCACATCAGGCTCCACGCAGGGAGCCTGCTTCATCCGTCCGCCTTTGTCTCTGCCTCTCTCTATGTGTCTCTCATGAGTAAATAAATAAAATCTTTAAAAAATAAAATAAAATGTTTTGCTTTTTAATATTAACGCAGGCTCCTATTTTGAAATCAGTCATTTTCCAAATAGAGCTTATACAATGAGACACAAAATATCTACACTTTGACACTGATCTAAAAAAATATATTTGGTAGATACTTTGTAAACTAGACCAGAGGCCTTAAAATTGCAAAATAAACCAACTCAGTGGTGGAAATGTTTTTCTTGGTGGCCCTGGATTCCAAAATTATTAGCGTTTACAAAGAAAACTATTTGTCTACCTCCCAGAGATAGTAATAACTTATTCTAAGGAGAGTAAAAAATTACTGACTTGTAATTTTGCTTTATTGTTTCTTCTGATGAGTTGAAAAAATTGCATTAAGGTGGATAACATACAGTCCTCAACTGTAGGTCTGCAGAGGAACAGAACGCAAGGCATGTCTCATGATATTCAAATATGGATTATCACTAATCACCTTTAAAGCAGGTCAGGATGTCGATGGGTTAGTTATATTCATTTTATTCTCCCCTTTCCGGATCCTTTTCCCACTTTGTTTTCATTTCTTTCTTTCTTTTTTTCGCTGAAGTTTCAATTTCAGGAATCATACTTTTTTGCCAGCATTACCACATGACAGCTATGGTACGTTTTATTTCACGTATATTTGAGTCTATTAGGATTAAGGGTGCTTCTTAGAATCTATGATCATGCTACATCTCCTTAAGTCTACTGATTTAAAACAATTTTTTAAAAAGTTTTAAGTAATTTGTCCACCCAACATAGGGCTCAAACTCAAAACCTCAAGATCAAGAGTTGCACGCTCTACCAACTGAGCCAGCCAGGTGCCCTTAGTCTACTGATCTTAAATGAACGATTTGTTCTGCTTCCATCTTTTTTTTTTTTTGTTGTTGTTCTGCTTCCATCTTTGATCAAAAATGCAACTTTGCCAACATAACACTTTTCACTCGCAGAGCATAGCTGCATTTTGTTTGTTCTGGTGACATACTGCCCTTTGAAATTAGGTGTGGAATTGTTTTTTATTTCCCTCATAGTATTTAGTTTCTCACTCTTGTTTTTTTCCCTTCTAAGGAAGGATTTTAAAAACATACTGTGAAGTTTCAAGTTTCCTTATTTCAGGTTAACTGTATGTTAACTGCTGTTTTCAACTTTATATTTTAAGAACGACTTGTTCATTGGAATTAGGTTGTCTTTGGAAGGGTCGGTTGGATCTGTCCTTGGAGAGACACACGGAGTGGAGAATGAAAAATCCTGTGTTTTCGGCCATTCTTTTTCACTAACTAGATCAGTGATGTTGGCCAAATGACATGATCTTGTTTATACTTCCTTATCTCATTGAAAAATGAGCAGGTTGGGGCAGATGATTCTTGATTAATTTAGATATTATTTGGTATACTTTTGACATTCCATGCTTCTACTTTTATTTTTCTGCAATATAAGAATAAAGGGTCTTTGCTGGTGACATACTGCCCTTTGAAATTAGGTGTGGAATTGTTTTTTATTTCCCTCATAGTATTTAGTTTCTCACTCTTGTTTTTTTCCCTTCTAAGGAAGGATTTTAAAAACATACTGTGAAGTTTCAAGTTTCCTTATTTCAGGTTAACTGTATGTTAACTGCTGTTTTCAACTTTATATTTTAAGAACGACTTGTTCATTGGAATTAGGTTGTCTTTGGAAGGGTCGGTTGGATCTGTCCTTGGAGAGACACACGGAGTGGAGAATGAAAAATCCTGTGTTTTCGGCCATTCTTTTTCACTAACTAGATCAGTGATGTTGGCCAAATGACATGATCTTGTTTATACTTCCTTATCTCATTGAAAAATGAGCAGGTTGGGGCAGATGATTCTTGATTAATTTAGATATTATTTGGTATACTTTTGACATTCCATGCTTCTACTTTTATTTTTCTGCAATATAAGAATAAAGGGTGACCATATGCATATTGCAACTGTTGCCTGTGACTTCTTTCTCAAGCAGATAAATAAATGTAGCCCATCTGCTTAGAACTTTAAACTTTGTTTCCCCTTGTAATAAATGCCCCTGAGTTGACTGAAGATAGTACTGTTAAAACAGCAAGAAGCAGTATTTCTCTCTCTGTAAATGTGAATAATTCAAGATTTAAGTAACAATCCATTGGTAAGTAGCTGCTGGCCAGGTGGGCAATCACAAAAAGCTGAAAGGCCCAAGGACAGAACACCAACCCACCCACACACCAAGTAGAAATTCCCGAATGTCAGCAGCAGGCACAAGCATCCTTCAGTGGGCTCCTTCTTGAAAAAGCTGTCACCACGTGCAGGGTGATGTACACGAGTGCCTGAGGCAAACACGATGCTGTCGGCAGTGCTGTGTTAAAGTCCCCTACCTTGCAGCCTTCACACGTGATGACTCCGTAGTGGATCCCGGAGGATTTATCGCCACAAATTTTGCATGGTATCACTTCAATTTGTGCTGAAAGGGGAAAAGAGACATTCTGAGCTTCTTCCTTTTGCTCTCCTATCTCCCTCCCCACCTTCCCCCCCCCCCCCCCCCCCGCATGACCTCAGTGTCCGAAGACCCTGAGGCGTAGGGTCACCCGCCACTGTTTGAATGGCTTCTCTAAGCTGCTTCTAAGTAAAAGGGCATCCATCTACCACCGCTTGCTTTGTTATTCCAAAACTAAAAAATATATAACCAGGGACCAGAAGTTTTCTAAATTCTTAGTTCACTGCTTTCTCCTTTTTAAACTTAATCTGGTAATTAAATTGACTCAAAAATCCCTTGAACCTGTGGCTTTGGTTTTCTTATTTTGCATTTCAAACATGAAGTCACTGAGAGCTATCACACTGCCTTTTTTTCAACAGCATTTTAAGTAAGTAGATAAAGCAAAACTGGAAGGGGTGGCGGTGGCTTTATGCATTATGTGGCTGGATGTTTGCTTGTGAAAATGTCAATGGTGACAATACTTATTGAGTATACTCTGTATGTCCACGAAAATAATAAAAGTTGTTGACACAAGATAGGCTATATTGACAGAAATAATTTCACTAGTAAAACAAAATTAATACATGGAGAAATCAGGGGAAAATGATACAACATGTGGCTACTATGATGTCAATACCAACAAAATAATTTCGTGGAGATGAGGACATTTGGGCTGATGTTGAAGATTGCTTACAATGAGATTATGCTGACGTGAAAGGCAAAGGGCCCAGCAGAATGGAGTGGAAGAGGTCTGGAATGACAGTGACTCGTGATCATTGGGACAGACAGCTCAGCTCTATAGGAAACGTGGGCCATATGGTTGGATAAAGGGAGTGATATGATAATGGAGCTCCTGGGAGTTACATAGAGGAATTTTCTGGCCATAATGATTCAAGGAAGGGAACAGGGTGAAGACATGATAGAAGCATGGTTTGGGTCCCTTAGAAAGGTGGGTTCAGCAAGCTAACCAGAAATAAGCAGAAGACCAACTAAAAGACTATTCCAAATCTGGTGCTAGGAGATGAAATTGCGGATTACATCAATAACAGGATAAATAGAGAGGAAGAAGGAAATAGAAAGACAGTTCAATCAGAATAATAAATGAAAGAAAAAATCCAGAAGTAGAAACTGATGGAGAATCAAAGGTGACTTCCAGCTTCACCCTGGAGGTTGAGGTTCAATAACAGGTTTGACACAAATGGGATTGTTGGTAAGGCAACTCGTATGTGTGCACAGGGAAGCACCTGTATGTTGAACCTTTTGGAAAGATGAGTTTAAGTCATCAGTATCGAGATTATGGATGAATTCGTGAGATAAACTTTATTTAGAATGTAGTAATTCCTATGTCCCTGGTAGTATTCTAAGTGTTGTTAAAATTGTACACACCAGGAAGAGCTGCTATTCCTGTTCCAAATTTAAAATAATTATGCAAAATATGCCTCAAAATGCTTTGTACATCAATCTGCCATTTGGATGCTTTTCTACAGTTTCCCACCCTGGAATATACAAAACAGATAAATGCAAGACATAACCTGTTTTTTTCTTATTGTTTTACATTTTTGAAAAAGATAATCCTTAGCTTTAGGAGAGCATATTCAATTTTTTGAAATTAAATATTTTACAGTAAGTTCAAGTCATCTTTATAAGCAAAAAAATCAGTGTTATGGGCCTATTTTTCATATGAGAAAACTGAGGATCCAAGACATTAATGATACCCTTGAGTTGATTTGGGAGATGGCAACCAGAAATTAGCCAGTTTTCCCAATACTTTGTTTAGTAACCCTTTCTCTTCCTATCACAGAGATACGATACAAATGCAATTTTGAATTCCTATATTATCCCAACAGCACCAGCTAAAGAGATAATGATAAAAACATGAGATGAGACAATAACTAAAATAGTTATTAGCATAAGTATTTATATTGCTTCTGTTTCTTCAACTTTCAGAACTCATGAACTGGTATTTGTTTTCAAGGTTTAGTGATATGGGGAAAAATGTGATATTTGACGTAATTTTCTTGTTTTCCTGGATTCCTGTTCCTAATCTGTTAATGGTTGGGTCCATGGCTAAGATAAAATTCCTATATTGTTATCTGGTTTATAGAGTTTAGCTGACAAACGACAATGATTTGTGAGGATTAAATGAGATATTTCATGAAGAAGTGCCTGGCAAACAGTAAAGAGCTACAAAATGTCAGTCTTTATCAGCATTAGAATTATTGTTAGCTGGTATTTCTAATGCTATTGGACAAGAATTATGATACATCATGTTATTATTCCTTTATTAAAAATCTTATTTAAAAACTCAAATGAATGACACTATACATTATTTGTATTTTTTTTTAGTGATAACCTTTCAAACAGTGGATTCTTTATAATGATTAAAAAATTGACTAAAAATAGCAGGTATCTACTGTACAGTTAGTTGTTAGGCTTATATGATTTTAAGTCAGAGGCACTCTTTGCATAAATTACTCCCCAGGGAGTAACTTACACGTGGGGAGAATCTGCTTCAATAACTTCTTAATTATAAAATGATCTAACTCTAAAGGAAATGAAAATAGAGGTAATTTGCCCCCTAGGGTGTGAGAAGATGTTTTTGAAAGCCACAAAGGTTATCTTATACAACTCGGAAAATACAAATGGGATAAGGAATGATTCGATAGAGCATCTGCATATTTATACATATTTATTATCCTAGCTCAACATGTAATCCTGAAGAACTATAAACATTTTAACAGTATTTTTAAAGAGAAAGAAGTCACTTAAAAGGGTATATGTGTGTTGCTATGTGTGGGAAGGGATTATCGACTTGAAAAACCTATGACTGTTCTTACCTATTATGGTGGGACAGGTCATTTGAGGTTCATTAGAGGTGAAGATAAACTTAAATAATTTAAAGGACTAATTCTGTTCCTTTGCTCTCGTTTAAAATAAATAGTTGCTAAGCTACAACATCATAGCTCATACTAGGTATTTTATAAAGCACGTCTTCAAGGCAGAGTATTTCAGACACTGATTAGGACAATACATGGCATTTTTGCTCCAATATAATAAATACTTCTAGTTGTCTTGCCATTAGTCCAGCCATCGTCTCCCAGGCAGTTATCTTGCAGTGGACGCAGATCTGCGACATGCTATTTATCATGGTTTCAAGCTGAACATCTAGGGAGGATTTGGTGGCTTGGATCACACCAGCTGTGAGAGTGAAAGCACCATAAGGAAACTGAGGGAGGAGCTCAACTTTCCTAGTCTCCTGTGACTCATGGATTAATTCAACAACAGTGTTCTCTGAAAGATGAGCATAAAGGAGCCAGAATGCCCTGAGAGATGGCTTGAGATGTGCTCATTTCTCAGTTTTTCCATTTCTTATATCTTCTGCTCACTTACATTTTTTCTATCGATAATCCCATGTGGAGACTAGAGTGAAAATTTTATTTACCCATTCATTTTTGTGTGTGTATAAAAGTAATCATATATAGTATTTTGGAAGTGATCTTTGTATGTCAAAGAATATCATGAAAGATTTAACATAATTTGATGTTTTACCTTATATAAAATCACTTCATGAAGTACAATTAATTTAATACCCCATGATCTGGCAGGCAGGTCCTATTCAACAATTATAAACTAGTCACAGTTTGTCTCTTCTTTGAAGATGACAGTTCTCTCCTCTCCCCGCAGGACCTCCTGAAGGCTCTTCCTTGCTTAGCGCCCCTTCCTACAACACTGCAAAAAACCACTGTGTGTTCAGTTCTTCCTGATGATCAAAATGTACATGTCTTTTTGTTCTGCTCCCTCAGAACCCCCTGCTGGTGAAGGCAGGTGTTAAGTTAGATTAACTAATCCAGGCTAATGCATTCACTAGAAAATGCATCACTTTGATGCATCGAAATACCTTAATTCTTAAAAGACCCCATCAGGAATGGTAGTAAGAGTGGACTGTTAAGGTACTTTCTAGTTGAAGGAAACATTTTTACTGCTTGTGTTCTTGTGGCTCTCAGTTCCCCATTCCATCTCCTATACCTCAGCCCTGCCATTTTTATAGTCTGGGCATTTTAAGTATAATTGTGGAAAGGGTCTAGGTAATATTTTACTTTTTTTAAAAAATTTTCTATCAAGACCAAAAGAGAATTTGTATAACTCTTAAAAAAGCAATAGTCCTAATTTTCTTTCAGTACAACCGAGAGCCAATATATTCCCTTTTGTAAAAAAAGGCTTTAAGCCATACTGATTTCCCATATTTGGGGTAAGAAGAAGTAATCAGAATCTTGTAACTAAGGTGGATATATATTTTGGAATAGGTCCCCAAGTGATTCTGATACAATAAAGTTCCCATTGAGGATTAAATGAATCAAGTTATGAACTAGGAATTCTTGGTAGCAGGTAAATTGCCTGCAAAATAAATAAAACCCAGTGACAAGCCTATGATCTGAAAATTCTAAGGGATGACCAGGAATTCCCTATTTTCCTGACCTGTGGTTTGGGCTATACTTTTAGCATCTTTTTTTTAAATAATAAATTTATTTTTTATTGGTGTTCATCTTTTGTTTTCTGTCTTTCTTTCTTTCTTTTTTTATTTATGAGAGAGAGAGAGAGAGAGAGAGAGAGAGAGAGAGAGAGAGAACAAGCATGAGCAGGGGAAGGGGCAGAGAGAGAATCTCAAGCAGACTTCCCACTGAGGGTGGAGCCAGATGCAGGGCTTGACTGCAGGACTCTGAGATCATAATCTGAGCCAAAATCAAGACTTGATGTCCAATTGACTGAGCCACCCAGGCACTCCCCTTTTTCTTTTCCTGAAGGGAAATAAGGAGTATCTGCCCCATCTACAATAACTTCCATTCCTGGATACTGGGTTTGCGCCCGAGTGTCTGTTTCCCAGAATTTTACAGCTATGCTAAAAGTGGGCAGTGCAAGAAAAACTTCTAATGTCTGAGTGAAGGACAGTTTGCACATACAAAACTTCCAATAAGGATGACTATTTTGGT